ACTACTACATTTCAAAGCTCCCTCAACCACCAGAAGGAGTCTCTATTGTCTCTTATGCTGACGATTGTTCGATAATGGCGTCTCGGAAAGGAATTGATGACTTGTGTTCGAAAGTAAAGGGTATCTCTCCGAGCTGTATTGCTTATTCACTGCTAGGAGCCTAACCCTCTCCCCTACAAACTCCTCTGCGACCCTGTGCACCACCTGGAGGTCAGACAATCGCTGGGAATTCATGTTTATAATACACCAATTCCGACAGTGAATAACCCCAAAATATCCGGAGTAACCTTCGACAGTCTGCTCTCCTTCTCCGAGCACGCAACCGTTATTGTCAACAAAGTACAGAGCCGCAACAAGGGTATCAAGTCACTACCCGGCAGTACTTGAGGAAAAGACAAAGAAACGTTGCTGGCAACATAAAAGGCAATAGGCCGGCCGGTTTTAAATTACGCAGCACCAGTGTGGTCGCCGTGGACTAGTAGGACGCAGTGGATGAAGCTACAGACAACACAACACACTGCACTTCGGACAGCGACTGGATGCCTTCTGATGTCGCCAGAACACCACTTGCACGACTAGGTGAAAATGCTCCCTATAAATGCCCTCGCACAGGCACGTCAGGAGGCATCTCTACGAACTGCCGGACGAAGTCCAGAGGTTCATTAAGCAGGGAGTCAGTCTCGAGTTATGTAAACTCCAGACAGACCTGTGAATGCCGTTCTAGGCGCACAACCACGAGACATCGACGAGACGGAGCTTCATCTGTCTCGGGAGACTAGAACCACAATAGCCCACTTCGCTCTGGCTACTGCAGTAGGTTAAACTCATACCTCAGTAGATTAGACGCAGATGTGCTAAATGAGTGCCCGGCATGTGGAGAGACACCCCACGACTCGAAACATCTCTTCGTATGCCCGGAAAACCCGACAACGCTAACGCCTTTATCCATGTGGACCGACCCCATTGAGGTGAACGCTTCTTAGGATTTCCGTTAGGGGAGCTTGACGACAACTTCTGAGATATGAATCCATCTGGGCGGGTTTGTTGTAGCCGCTACAACAACAACAACAAGAGCAGCAGGACTGTGTAAGTTTGGTAACCGTTAAGTGAGAGGACACTATAAGACATAATAACGGTCTGACATAATATTCGTCATATACGATGTTGGCACCACATAAACCGTCCAGTCCACCTATATGTGGGGTTTCTCCGAAGATAGAAATATAAAATAAAATAAATAATGGCGCTTACGCATCTGCTAACATTGAGTATTTTCACTTGAGGTCGCTATGCGACCTAAGCCAGACTTCGATGGTACATTTTTGGGTCGGATGTATTGAAAATAGACGAGAAAGAGATATCCCCATTGGCTGCCAAAGCGCGGCGACTGTAAGAATAAAAGCTTTTTTTATTTGATGTTGCTCAGACCGTGGATGTTCACGGACATACCAAGCGATAGTGTACACCTCCGCCCACTCGGTCACGGCGGCCGCCCTTTTTCCTACCTGTGTCTGCTCTTGGGTAGATAAGTCTCTTTGCACCACAGCGAACCCCAAACGTCTTCATTCCAATAGTTCCAATGGCTATAGTTCAGTATTAGTTCGATAACATTTCCGGATGTTCGAGAGCTTTGTGGCACTACAACAGTCACAAAATGGACTAGAAAACTGGTGGGTAGCACGTAAAACCAACCTAACATTTTTTGCAGATATGGCGGATTTTGCTAGGTTGAATTTTTTATGTCGGTTGAATTTATAATATCGCAACAATTCTTTTCCATTCATGGGATCATCTTTAATTTTCCAATTTTATGTGACTTTCATTTATATACATAAATGTATGTATGCATATGGTATGAAGCTCCGCGATTCTCATATTTCTTATCTGCTCTCTAGGTTCACCTTTTAAATTCCACGTCGATTCCATCACATCTGGTTATGTAACTGCCTACGGACCCGGTCTGACCCACGGCGTCACTGGTGAACCATGCAATTTTACAATTTCAACTAAAGGCGCTAGTGCTGGTGGTCTCACTATGGCTGTGGAAGGTCCCAGCAAGGCCGATGTAAGTATCGATGAACAACCACCTAAACTCTTTTGACAAATCGAACTTATCGTACTACCGCGAGCTACAAATATGCCACTTTTTCCCCATAGATCAACTACCATGACAACAAAGATGGCACAGTGTCGGTGCAGTACCTGCCAACTGCCCCGGGTGAATATCAAGTTTCGGTGCGCTTCGGTGACAAGCATATAAAAGGTTCACCATATTTCGCTAAAATTACCGGTGAGGGTCGCAAGCGTAATCAAATTTCGGTTGGTTCCTGTTCGGAAGTCACCATGCCCGGGGAAATTACGGACGATGATCTGCGCGCCTTGAATGCGTCTATTCAAGCGCCTAGTGGCTTGGAAGAGCCCTGCTTCCTCAAGCGTATGCCAACTGGCAATATTGGCATCTCATTTACCCCACGTGAAATCGGCGTGCATATGGTATCGGTGAAACGTATGGGTACGCACATTGCAAACTCGCCATTCAAAGTGGACGTTTGCGAGCGTGAGGTAGGCGATGCAAAGAAAGTTAAGGTCTCCGGCACTGGCTTGACAGAGGGAATAACGCACACCGACAACATTTTCTCTGTGGATACACGTAATGCTGGCTACGGTGGTCTATCCGTATCGATTGAGGGTCCCAGCAAAGCGGAGATCCAATGCACCGACAAAGATGATGGTACACTCAACATTTCATACAAGCCTACGGAGCCAGGCTATTACATTGTAAATCTGAAATTCGCCGATCACCACGTTGAGGGCTCACCATTCACCGTAAAAGTCACTGGTGAGGGCAGCAATCGCAAGCGCGAAAAAATTCAGCGCGAACGCGATGCAGTTCCAGTAACTGAGATCGGCAGCAAGTGCAAATTGACTTTTAAGATGCCGGGCATCACATCGTTTGACCTAATGGCCTGTGTAACATCGCCCAGCAATGTGACTGAGGATGCGGAAATACAGGAAGTCGAAGATGGCCTCTACTCGGTGCATTTCGTGCCGAAAGAATTGGGCGTGCACACCGTTTCGGTACGCTACAAGGACATGCACATCCCCGGCTCACCCTTCCAGTTCACAGTGGGTCCTCTGCGCGACTTTGGAAGCCATTTAGTGAAAGCCGGTGGTTCAGGCTTGGAACGTGGTATTGTCGGCGAGCCGGCTGAATTTAATGTATGGACACGTGAGGCTGGTGGCGGATCGCTGGCTATCTCGGTGGAAGGTCCCAGCAAAGCTGAAATAGACTTCAAAGATCGCAAGGACGGCTCATGTGATGTTTCATACAAGGTCACCGAACCCGGAGAGTATCGAGTTGGTTTGAAATTCAACGATCGTCACATACCTGACTCGCCATTCAAGGTTTACATATCTCCCGATGCTGGAGATGCACACAAACTGGAAGTGCAGCAGTTCCCTCAAGGTAAGAATTCAGCTTCCCGGGACCAGCACAATCATATGTTAACATGTTTGGTTTAAATTTTAGGCAACATCCAAGCCGATGCACCCTATCAATTCATGGTGCGTAAGAATGGCGCCAAAGGCACACTCGATGCTAAAATCGTTGCACCATCCGGCACTGACGATGATTGCTTTATCCAGAGTATCGACAGTGAAATGTATTCGGTTCGCTTCTATCCACGCGAGAACGGCATTCATGCCATCCACGTAAAATTCAACGGCGTACACATACCCGGATCACCATTCAGAATCAAGGTCGGCAAGGATGTAGCCGATCCAGCTGCTGTACACGCCACCGGCGCCGGTTTGGACGAAGTTAAGACTGGCCATAAAGCTGACTTTATAATAAACACTTGTAATGCGGGCGTCGGCACGCTCTCCGTCTCCATTGATGGTCCCTCAAAAGTTGCCATGGACTGCACGGAAGTGGAAGAGGGCTACAAGGTTCGCTACACACCATTGCTCCCCGGTGAGCACTACATTTCGGTGAAATACAACAATATGCACATTGTTGGCTCGCCATTCAAAGTAAACTGCGTTGGTAAGTATGCAAATGCTGCGGCAATTTTCAACAGCCCACTAACTTCAACGTATTTTTCCTTTTTTCCAAGGCGATAAATTGGCCGATGAGGGTGCTCAAGAGACTTCCTCAGTGATCGTTGAAACGGTGCAAAAGCTAGCTAAAGGCGGCAAGAACACAGGCGTCCATATGCCCACATTTAAGTCGGACGCCTCCAAAATCACATCAAAAGGCATGGGCTTAAAGAAGGCGTATATGGGAAAACAGAACAATTTCACCGTGAATGCCACAGATGCTGGCAACAATATGCTCTTCGTGGGCATGTATGGGCCGAAAGGTCCTTGCGAGGAATTCAATGTTAAACATACCGGTCGCAATAACTTCAACGTGAACTATATGGTGCGCGATCGTGGACAATATATACTAATAGTCAAATGGGGCGAAGAACATATTCCCGGCTCCCCATTTCAAATTGATGTTTAGGCTAAAAGCTCATTTATATGTAAAGTGCCTTGCGAACGGTGCAATAATTTTCAAATATGCAGAATGCAGGTGTATGAACAAAGAAACAGCAAAATGCCTTGCAGTGTTAGCGCGAATATAGTACTAATATCTAAAGAAATATTCTTATATACATACATAAATACATACACATATATCTAGTAAGTCATCACTGGCAAAGAGGAATGGATTTAACGAAGTTTGCATCTAAAATTCAAATTTCCCTATCTACATATATTTTTTGTACTTTCATCGCGTTTTTTATCGGAGTTACTTTTATTAACGCATATGTATTTGTTAAGTTAACTGAATGTGTGAAAATAAATGTAAATAAAATTTGGTAAAATCAAAATTTATATGAAATATCCTATAAAACGATTGCCAATTTTGGATAACAAACACATTTGTTGTACCCAAAAATACTTACTATTTCAAGTGTATCCCTGCTGTTTTGTGGAATAAAACGTAATATTTATACATTTACGTTTCGTATGTCCAATTTAATTGTTCATTTATAACGAAAATAATTGTTTTTAAGATTAATTTACATACATACATAAATGTTCGAGCTGAAGAAATACTTTTTATTATTCACTTTATATTATTTATCATGTACGTGTTGTTTTTTTTTATTTTATTCTCAACAATCGATTTAAATTAAAGGAAAATTAGACATTCAAACTATTATAAAGTCTTCGTATTTTATTTAAAATGTAGTGTTTGATTTAAAAAAAAAGTTTTGAGAAAACTTAAACCATATTTTGGAAGGTAGTGGAACAAGTTTTTTATATTATTTAACTTAAACGCTGGTATTGGTTTTAAATTTGTAAGCTGTTTTCATTGCATTTATCTAAAAACTTACACATTAAAACAAAAGTGGCCCATCTTAAATTATCTCGTTATCATCGCGTAGCACAGACTCATACAATTCACCACAACGCCCAACTTTCTGCAAGGGATCGTCATCACTGTCAGAGCTCGAGAGTTCCTCCTCAGGGGGACAGTAATACACAGTAGATGTGTTAGGAAATGAAAGACGTCCAAGATGGTGCTTCAAAAATCTGCATGCGTCCTTCTCCCCAATTACATCACTCAAAAGCTCTTTAGTTACTTGGAAATAGGCACCTTGCGGTTGCTGTTTTTGCCGAGGTTTGTATAAAAGAATGCGTGCTGGTTTTTGTTTTTTGTTAACTTTTTCTTTAATACTTGGTCCAATTGCCGATTTTCGACCACGCGAGACAATTTGTGGTTTTAATCTACGCTTTGTTTCAGAGACGCATACTCTGGGCATTGTTCGCCCTTGCTCAGGCGATGAAAGCGTTATAAACTTTTTTCCAAATTTAATGTCGTTTAGTGCTGTCGTATCGAGACTTTTACCGACGGTAGTCAAACAACGTGCAGCGGCTTTGGGAGTTGCATCATCTTTAAACAGCGTATCGTGAAAAATTTTGTGGGCTGTGTTTTCACTTATTGTCGGTAGACGACTAATTAACTGCTTGCGCGCGGCAGCAACGTTCAATGCCGTAGAGTTACAAATATTTTCGGCATTCGACAAAAATGTATTTTCTTTTGTATCTTCTGTAGCTCGCTTACCAATTTTTGTGGTCGTTTCAGTAGTAAGTTTTTTTGAATAACCATTGGCTTGCTTAGATGACCGCTCCGAATCGGTGCTTGAAAGTATAACTACCATATTCGAATTAAAATTCTTAATTGGTTGGATTAAATCAGAATTTAGCAAGTCTTCTTTTTTCGACTCTGTACCATTCTTACAAGTCTCCGCCTTTGTTTCCAACGAAAGTGCTATAGCTTTTTTCAGATCTTTTTCAAATGTAGAGTTGCATTCATCTGAACTGTCTTTCACTTGAGTCTCTATAGAAAGCCACTTGGCATTGGCTAAATCTCCATTCTTATTTATCTTTGCTAAAGCTGTCTTTGAAGCTACTCGCTTCTTAGAAACTTTCGAGGGTGCTGTGTTGGTAATATTGTCTCTTACTGATGACGATTTTGG